AAGGGACGGACCATGAACCTGGGTGCCAAGATGTCTGTGAAAGTGCGCCCTGGGGTAAGGAGTCCCTGGATGCCTTCCTGGCCTGCTGCCCCGTCCCGGAAGCCGCCCTCTTGAGGGGTCTCTCTCCTTCCCTTGTCCGTAGGACGTCTTCTGCCTGCAGACCCCAGGGGGAGGGGGCTTCGGACAGCGCCCCCAACCGCCACCCTTGGCCAAAGGGTCTGAAGAGACCAGGCTCCGGGCCCAGCTCTTCAGAGAACGAGGCAGCTTCTACTACTACAGCCGGTCACAGGAGATAATTGATGGGCCCTGAAAGATTGGAGAAGGTGGCAGGGCAATTCCACCTCTCACCACAAGGGGGCAACAGAGACCAGCTTTCTTCCTTTCTTGTCCGTATGGGGGGGAGGGTGAAATAAAGAGATTGCTCCCTCCCTACACACCCTAAGTGCTGTTTCTCCTGGGGGGGGCTGCCCCCTGCCCGCCTCTCTTCTGCCTGCACCCCTCAAGCCCAGAGAGAGAGAGAGAGGGTGCCGTGCCTCCCTGTTCTCAGCTGGCGCAGGGGCCGTGAGCCAGTGGTGCCTGTGCCAGCTGAGAACAAGGAGCACAGCACCCTTCGGGCCAGTGGTGGTGGGATGGACGCCGCCCGGGCCTTTTCCTGGGAGGAAGGGGCCGGGCAAACGCTTAGCGTAGTTTCGCATGAATAAAGTTAGGCATTTGCCTGCAGTCCCTGAATCGTTTCTGTCCCAGCAGACGACCCGGCTGGTCTGCCCAGGGGTGCTGCCCACCAGGCCCAGCTCGAAGCCTCCGTGAGGGGTCCGAGTCTGCCACCTCCTGCACTAGAGCCCACCCCCCTCGCGCGTTCTGACCCAACGGCCCTTCCCTGTGTGACAGGTGGAGGAGCAGAGGGCCCCCAAGGTGTGATGGTTCTGATAAATGAGCGGCAGAAATAAGAACTCTGAGGCAATTGCTTTCCTCAAAGAACACTTTTAATGGCTACATAATATCAGCACGAACAAAGGTGAAACCAAGACTGAAAGTTCCCCTCCCCCCCCCACAAAGGTTACAAAGTAAAAGTTGAACTCCCCATCCCTTGGTGTGTCATAAATCACAATCCCCAATTAACTCCTTTGGTGGGCTTCCTAAGGGTCGCTCCAGCCCACCAAACACTTAGGCTGCTTGGTTCCCACAAGAAAGTTATTGTTTTGACTGAACTATAAGAATGCATCTTCCCCCCCCCCCCAATTGCTGTGACAACCGAAAAAGGAAGAAACATGGCTGAATTCAGGGTGTTTGAAGGTTTGACACACGGTTATTAGGGGGCTGGAGGCTAAAACATAGGAAGAACAGTTGCTGGAATTGGGGATGTCTAGTTTAATGAAGAGAAGGACCAGGGGGGACAGGATAGCAGCGTTCCAAAGCTTAAGTGCTTCCCCAAAGAAGGGGGGGGGAGGTTCAAGCTATTCTTCAAAGCACCTGAAGGCAGGATAAGAAACAATCGATCTGGAGACTAATCAAGAAGAAAAGCAACCTAGAACTAAGGAGAAACTTCCTGACAGGACAGTTAATCAGTGGAACAGAAGTAGCCTCCAGAAGTTGTGGGTGTTCCATCCCTGAAGATTTTTATGAAGAGATTGGACAGCCATTTGTCTAGAATGGACTAGGGCAGGGATAGGCAACATTGGCTCTTTTATGATTCGTGGACTTCAACTCCCAGAATTCCTGAGCCAGTTGAAGTCCACAAGTCATAAAAGAGCCAAGGTTGCCTACCCTTGGACTAGGGTCTCTTGTTAGAGCAGGGGGTTGCACTAGAAGACCTCCAAGGTCCCTTCCAACTCTGATGATGTTCTATGTTTGAAACTATTTCAAGAACGACATATAAAATGCTGAAAATCAATTGGATAGTTTATGGGCAGGCACCATCTAAAAGGAAGCAAAATGATTAATTTTTACATTTCGGGAACGAGGGCTGCAAAATAGAGTGATGACAGCATCGGAGAGCAGCCATTTTGGGCTTTTATGGAGGAGATGAAGGTGCAGATCAGTTGAGTAAGAAGTGGGACAGCGTTGCTCAGACCTTCTGTAAACAACATAACAGCCACTACAATCCTTTGGCTTCCATCAGAACATTGCAATGTCTGAGTTTCCCAGCCCACATAAACATAAAATAATGCCATTAAAATAATTAGGTTAAAATGTTATGCTTGCAAACAAACTGATTACCATCTAGAATGCAGCACCTCAGATACATAAGGAGTTGCTATAATCAACTGCCAAAGCCCAGGGACAGCAGATCCCGGGAAGATTGGGAAAAGTTACAGAGATCTCACGATGGAAATGGATAGACTTGCAGGGCTCCTCAACCTTGGCAATTTAAGACTTGGGACTTCAACTCCCAGAGTTCCTCAGCTGGCAAAGGAGTTCTGAGGAATTCTGGGAATTGAAGTCCCCAAGTCTTAAAATTGCCAAGGTTGAGGAGCCCTGGCGATGGAAACCTCACCAAGTCATCCCTGCAATTATTAATTGGCACGTTGGACAGAAGAACAAATACAAAAAAAAAAAAAAAAACCCGTTTACAAGAGCTAAATATTTTGGTTACTTTAATTGTGGATTTGCAAAAACATTTCTACCTTGCTGGGTGTATCTTATACCTTTAGACGTTTGTTTATTTGTTTATTCAGTATCTCTGGTTGCCCCTTTCAGTGACTCTGGGCGGCTGACAGTTCAAAAATGTATTACAATTAAAAACACAAAAAACTTTTTAAAAGAGTAATGACAGCAAAAGCAATAAAAACAACAGAAGCGTCCAAATTAAGTGACCGCGCTGGACTAACGCCCAGCTTCCTGCCATAGGAATGCGGGTCAAAGGTGTGACCGTTTCATGTGGTGGTTTGGTGATTAGGTGCACAACACCCACAATAATTGGGCCACGAGGTGCAACTTCCCCCAGGAGGCAGAAAGAATTTGGGGGAGCGGCGTTTTGGAGCCACGCACGTCAGGCTGGGGCTCGGTCGGGCCCTCCCGGGGCGCAATTAGGGGTGGCTTCCCTCCGTCGGGCCCTCCCGGTTGCCTGAGGGAGGAAGCCCACAATTAGCAGGCCCATCAGGAGGCGGCTGACGTGGACACCCCCGCGGCGGTCAAGCTGCCCCTGAGCTCCCTGCCGAGCGGGGCAGGATTCCTGGCCAGCCAGCCACGGGGCAGGAGCGGCTCCCTCGCTGGGGCTGTTCGGCCTCCCCGACCGGCTGGTCGTCCCGGCCTTTCCAGGGCCAAATCCTGCCGAGCTCCGCCTGCCGCAGGAGGGCGAGCCAGGCCAGGCTGGGTGGCGGGAAAGGAGGCGCGCTGCGCTTTGCACAGCCCCGGGCCCCGTCCAGAGGAGCGCCCCAGCCCTCCATGTGGACGGGGGGGGGGGAAGCCCCGTCCGATGCCCGGAAAGCAGTGCTTCCTCTCCTGCTCCGGGTGTGGGAAAATGGGCGGAGGTCCCGGGAAGGCCAAGCGTGGGTGGGAGGAGGCTGGCATGTGCCCCCCTCCGCTGCTTAACTGACCTTTTAACGGAGGAGAGGCCACGCCAGGCTCTCTTGGAAAGGTTATCTCTAGCCGGCTCTTGGGTGTGGTGTGTTTGCAGTGTCAACAGGCTGGAAGGAAATCCCTGGGTATGTCCTACAAGGGGGGCGGCGCATTAGGCCTTTCCAGCAGCCCACACTGAGACGCCCCAATTGTCCCAAAATGCACCCCTGAAAAGAGTGGGTGGCTTCTCTTTTGAACCCCAGCCCTCCTGGGAAGAAAGGGAGCAGAGAGAAAAGAGAGGAGTGCAGGACACACACACACAAACCTGAGAGAAGGTGTGGGGTGCGGACGCTCCCCCAGTCCCTTCTGTACCAGCTCCTCCTTTGGCATTGTGATGTTGTGTGTGCCTGTTTAATGCAGGCAGGTGAGGAGCTCCCCAGGCACCTGTGTTGGTCAGGTGGGAGCTTGGCTTGGAGGGGCCTCACCTGTTCCAAGCTTAGAAGGGGCCAAAGTCAGCGGTCGCAGGCCAAGCCCAGAGCTGCAAGGCCGCCCTGCTCCAGCCACCTTCCTTTGGGGCCCCTGCAGCAACAGCCCTGCCCCAAGGCAGTCTTCCCCAGCGAAGGGCAGTGCCAACCCATCTGGAGCGAAGGCAGCTTCCCAGAGATGCAACTTTTGCAGCTACAAAGACTAGAAACCTGCCAGACACCAATTTTCTCACTGCGTGCTCCATGCGCTGCCTTTGCTGATGAAGTTCAAGTCCCGTTAAACTGAATGCCTTGCACGCAGAATGGTCATTTCAAGGGCAGGATCTGGGGGTTCAATTCCCCCAAAAGGCTTAGAACTCCACCGAAGAACACCTGGCTACATATGGCTGATGAGTCGGGGTCATGTCCAGCCTCCTGAGGGCCAATATGCCATCCCCGATGTGACATTCTAACTGCTGCTGCACCCCTCAATTCTCCCTCCCATAAAACATGGAAGCAAAATTCCCTCTGCACGGCTGTACCAATGGCAGAGTGGTGTTACACACTACTCCAACACTCCTTATTAGGGACCGTGACCTGGAAGTACCTGGCTCGCTCTCTAGGTCACACCATCAGCGCTACAAGGTTGCTCTCATTACGTTACAGCACTGATAAAGTTTCCTAGTTTGGTAGTGAAAGGTCTGTAAGAAAACCACCCCGCTCAGAAAGCCCACAGGACCCCACAATTCCTGGTTTATTCTCCAGTCAGACGTGGCCCCCTTCATCGGCTTCCTCTCTGGGAAATGCTGCTGGCAGAACCGGGAGATGGGAGAGGCCTGCGGGGTGAAGTGGAGGGTACCAGACGCCCCCCCCCCAGCAGAAGTGGGGTGGGGGGATTGATCCCGGCTACCCGCTGCTAATGGCTAAAGGCCCACAGCAGGGAGGAGAATGGAGGCTGGCGCCTCTGCCCAGCTCACGATGCTGGTTGTCAGACGCAGCAGCTGTTCCAAAAGAGGCAGAGACACTGACACAGACCTGTAGGGTTTTTTTTATAAATAAATATATTTTACATCTATATTGACAGCAGACAAGGTAGTCAGGTACATCCTTACACCACAAATAAATCGTCAGGTAAATCACAGAACATCGTACAGAGCACACAGAAGGGGAAAAGGCTGGGGGGGGGGAACTACCCCCACAGCAGCCAATCACAGCGCAGATTGCCTTGCTCAGGAGCCAGCCCTCTCCAACCAATCAACTGCCACTGTGTGTTCTGACCAGGGCACTCTTTACTGCTCCGGCCACTAAATATAAACATCCCAACACTGAGGCTGGCGATTGCTTCCCAGCTTTCTTGATAGGGAAGATATTGCCTTTTTTTAAAAAAAATTACTAATCCTATAACCGCTCTGCTTAAGTTGCACCGGCTGTTCTTCCAACTTGCATCGGCCTCAAGGCTTGTCTGTCGGAACCTGCAGCAAAGGGGTTTGTGTGTGTGTGTGTGTGTGAGAGAGAGAGAGGTCAGCCCCCTCCTCCCTGGGCTTTGGGGTCCCACAGGAGAAGGAGCAGGGGAGCCTGCCTGCTGGAAGAAGAGTTCGGCTCGAGTCAATTTTGCCCCCCGCTGAGGTTCACCTGTCCGGCTATAGTGCTGTGCGCAGGTGTTTTAGGCTCACGGGCTCCTTCTCTGCACCTCTCCTGTCTCCCCTTTCCGAACTTTAATTCTTCTGCCAACCGGCGCCTGGCAGGGGCAAAATCATTGCAGCGCAGAAGGGGGCCTTGAGAGCAGGCGGGACTCCGGGGCTCCTGCCCCCCCTCTTTTCCAGCTGCGAATTCAGGGCCAACCCATCAGAGCAGCAGTTGGTCCTTTTGGTTCAGCTCCTGCAACTCCTGGACTGTGGGTTTCAGGGGGGAAACGACAACGTAGGAGAGATCCAGTCGGGCGCGAAGAAAAAGGGAGCAGTGCTCAGACTGCCAAAAAACCCACAAAAACCAAGCAAAGTGAAGCTAAGCTAAGCAAAAGAAAGAAAGTGCCTACAGTATCTGAGGAGGCACCCATGTGTCGTTTCTGTCGAAACTTTGCATCTTCCCTCTCTGGTCCCTGTCTGTGCTTGGCTTGCGTGACCCGGGGGCAGCGGGGTCTGTATCGAGCCCTGCAGGCTGTCCATAGAGTGAGAGTGGACAAGGCCCCCTCCCCCCCCCCAGCACCAGGCCCTTCTTGACTTGGATGCTGCACCCTGAGATCCCAGAGGAGATCAGCCTTTTGTGCCACCCGGTTGCAAAGATGTTTACTCAAGAGATTGAACAAACAGCACCAGGAAGCGCCTTCCTGCACACAAAGGACGGGGGGGGGGACTTCTGTCCAGCAGGGCCACCCATCCCGCCTCCTCCCCCCGCTGAAATCTTAAAGCTTTGGGGCCCTGAGAGCTCAGGATGGCAAAGGGTGCCCACAGGCCTTAAGAGTGCCACAATTAAGAACACCCCAGAAATGGTCTGCTCAAACACAGTAAACTATTAACGTTTGAGGCCCTTCGGTTTCTTGGAAACAATTCAGGTTTTGCTGAAACATTCAGTTCTATACGTGCCTGATGCAGGATGTGTAATCTCTGTGGTGAGATTTTTATCTTGGGAGGCTGACATTTGGCTAAATAGTTACGAAAGTCAAGTTGCACTTGATTTGATGGGGGGGGGAAGGGTTACCAATTCCCCAGCCCAAAGTCTGCACCGGCCCTTCGTAGCCAACTTCACCCAGATGCAGACCAGGCCACAGGGCCATCGTCCACTCCCCCCCACATGTCCACCCCCAGCCTGACCTCATGTCAGTCTCGGCTGTTTTCATGCAGCCCTTCCTAGGAGGACCGAGAGGAGAGGCTGACCAAGAGGTCCAGGCATTTGGGCAGAGAATGCCGGTGTCACCTTGATGGCCCCCGTTGACCAGTGTCACACTATCTCCCATCCTCTGCTGAGTTCGGAGCCTGGAGTAGGTGACCGCTCTGGTGCCTGCAACCTTGAAGGCCTCCCACACCAGCCCCTCGGCCATCCCAGAGTGCCCAGCTTGGCTTTGAAGGAGTAACTGCTCCCTCTCTCCAGCAGGGAGAGGCCCTGGACAGACGGCTTCCCATCCCTGGATCAAGGACTTTGGTCCAGCTGCAGGTCACAGTGGGTCCTTCCACGCCTGGTCACTCTTCCGGTTCCACCTCCGAGGATACCAGGAGTTGCAGTCCGACAGGCAAGTGGTCCGAGCAGGTGGCCAGCTGGGTGAAAAAGGAGACTTTCTCCACCGTCTGAAAGCCAAGAGGGGACACGAGACAGGAAGGGCTGAGAGCAGCAGAACAATGGGCCCAGGAAGGGGCCGAGAGCGGAGAGTCTGGGGAAAGATTTGGCCCCTAATCCTGAATAATTTTAGGATTGAAGGCCGCCTGAACCAACCTTCTGCTCAGGGCAGATTCGGCACGTGGAGGCACCTTCCATTCATCTCCAGAGCCCTCTGTTTGCAGCCCTCTGGCACCACCTACTCCTAACATTCACCAGCCCTACCAGTTTCCCCAGCTGCCCTGGCTGGAACCTCAGCAGCCCCCCAATTCCCCTGCAGCTGTTCCCCAGTGACCCCCCCCCTTCCCACTCTCCTTGGCACCTTCCAGGGAGTCCTTTGAAAGGGGAAAGACCATGGTGGGGAAGGGGCTTCCTGCTTTTTTTCTCCTCCTTCTGGAAGGAGGGGAAATCTGCCCAGGAGGGATCACTGCTATTATGGAGACCCCCCACCCATTTCTGTCCCTTCCAGCCCCTCCCCAGGGCTTGTGGAGGTTGAGGGGATGGTGAGAACTAGCTAGCATTCATTGTCTTGGTCGTGGGGATGGAGGGAAGCTGGCAGAGTTGCTGGGAGGCTCTGCAGGCCGTGGGGACATTCTTGTTTAGGGCAAACTTTGACCAGGTTTACTACCTGTATCAAAATGCCCATTTGGGAGTTCACAGGAGATGCCAACCTCCCCTTGGCTCAGGGGGGGTCACGGATCTGATTGCCCAAACCCCAAAGACCAGATCCACCAAGAGAGCACCTGGCTGACCACAGGTGGAGGACCAGGAAATGCAAATATTGCTGCACCTGCAGTCACCCGGAAGAGGCTTTCCTGGGGCAGGAAGTCATAGCGATGAGGGAGCTTAATTGTGCTGCCAAGGAAATGCCAGGCGTGTCTGGCACAACACTTTCTTCACTGCAGGGCAAAGACTGGCCCACGAGAACCAGCTACCTGGACCCATCCTCATGAAGGGGGCAGGGGGCCTCTTCCTCACAGCCCACCCGATTCAGGTTGGCATAAATGAGTGTTCGGCCACAGCCACCTTACCTCTCTTAGCAAGGAGACTGGCCAGGCTTGGGGGGGGGGCTGGATTCCTGGCCCTCTGTTCCCACCCATGCAGGTCTTTGGCCAGGTCAAGCCCGGCAACCAAAATATCCCGGGAGGAGCAGAACTGGACATCCAGCAGATGCCAGGCAACCCCCTCCTGTCCTGGGCTGGGTCAGTGGGAGCATGTGGTCTGAAGAGCCCCCCGGGAAGTGCTGAGCCCAGCTGGGTCCACTGGCAGACCGGGGGCCTCTGGGCAAGGAAAGATCCTCCAAGGTACCGGCAAACGCTGCCTGGTGTGGGAGGCGGGTTACTCTGTTGAACTGGTGCTCAGCGTTACCCTGGCTCAGGTGGGAGGGAGGGAGGGAGGGAGGACGGCTCCTCTGTCCATGGTGCAAATGTCCCCCAGAGCGAGTGGGCTACAGGGGCGTCCTGGGACCCACAGAGAAAGCAACTCTCGAGCACACAAAGAGGGCAAAGGAAAAGGGTGCCCCCCGGCCCCCGAGAATTGGTGCTCTGCACAGGGAGGCAACTTTTGTGTCTTGCAAGGTGCCCGGAGAACCGCAAGGCAAGCAGAGCAGAACAACTCCAGGAAGCCACCTGGGCCCGTTTCCGCAGGAGGTTCTCGCAAGGCTGCTTGTGGGCACTGAAGGGCTGGCAAGAACCTGGGCATTCTGCTCCTTGCCAGGCTCTGCCCGCCACAAACCGCAGGAGTCAGACGCTGAAAGTCGGTGCCAATTCTGGGCAGGGAGGCCCCTCGGTGGGGCAGCCTTGCCAGGCCCTGCTCCCCGCAGTGGCCCGGCTTACGGTCCCGGGGTCCACCTCTGCACACCCTCTTCTCTCCCCTGCTTTCCGCCCTTCCTTTTCCTTCCGCCCTCCGAGCGCTGTAGGGGCTCGCCTGGTCTAGAGGCACGCAGTGGGGCATTGCGTGCCCAGATGGGGTGGCAGTTCCAGGGGCTTCTCATTTGGCATGAACCCTGGGAGGCCGTGGATCCAGCCCTCCTTGGCAGCCCCCAGTTACCCACCACCCCCACCTCCGCCGCCCGACTCCCGACCAGTTCCTTCAACCCAGTATTCCCACTCTGGGGACCTTTCTCCAGCCATTTTGGCCCAGCAGGAAGGCCTGTCCGGCTTCCTCAGCTGACCACAGGCTCTCGGGCCACTCACGGTCTTCAAGGGCACCGGGCCCGCATGTTGCCGGTAAAGAGTATAGTCAACGCGCCGCCCTTCGTGGCAGGTTGTCAAGAGGTTGGTGCTGCCATCAGCCTGGAGGGGGCGTGCCAGGTACTTCCTGCGCTCCTCCGGATTCTCCAGGGTCCTGGAAGGCAACGGAGAGTCTATTGGGCAGCCTTAAGAAGTCTAAGAAATAAATAAATAAATTTTGGGAGGGATTAGAGGTCATCTAGATCAACCTGCTGCAGGATGCAAGATGCAGTAGTGACTATTCAGGCTCCTCTTGAAGACATCTGGTAAGGGAGGACTCGCCATTCATGGGGCAGGCCGTTCCACTGGCTAATGGCTCCTACAATTGGGAAGTCCCTTCTCATCTCTCTCCTAATCCCCTCCCTTCTCATGGTTTCCGCTCACTGCATCAGTCCTGCCCTTTGGGGCCGTAGCATAGATATGGGGCAGCTCTCCGGGTCTTTGAAGGCTGCGGTCCGTATCTTCCCTTCTTTGTCCCACATTGCCACCCCTGCCCCCCACCTCCATCCTCTGCCTTAGACTTGGGCCTCCCGTTTCTCCTACCTGGAGGCAGAGCAAGGTGCTCCCAGTCCAGCTGCCCCTGGTCAGCTCAGACCCCTTTCTTCCCCACGGAGCAGAGGCAGGCTTCACAGGGAGGCCAGCCAGCTCCACCACAGGCGACTGGGCCATGTCGGGTGGGAAAGGTGGGCTTAAGGCCTCGATCAGATGTGAGAGAGGGCGAGGCGGGGTCTTGCCTCGGCACCCACGTCCACGGATGAGCCTTGGGACACTCGCCCTCTCTCAGCCCTGGAAAGCGGCCAGCCCGGGCAAAGCCACCTTGGTAGCCCTGCCAGGGAAACTGAGGGGCACTGCCAGGCAGTTGCCAGGATTTGAACTTCCCTTGGGGTGGGGGAGGGGAGACAGACTGCGATTGGCTGCTGTCAGATCAGGCATGGCTTTCTGCCCCCTCCCCCAGAAAGGAGCCAACCTGGCAGGTCCTTCAAGGGGTCCCTTGTTTCTGCCCCCAGAGACCCTGGGATGGCACCAGACCCTCACCTCTTCAGGTTCCCTGGGGTGGCCACAGCCTCGTCGTAGATGCGCAGCATGTTCAACAGCGTCCCTGTGAAGGGCAGGAGGGAGGGGTCGCACTAGCCTCTCGTCCACGGTGGGGCCCACCCTGCCCAGCCCCATCCCTCCAGTCGCCCCCTGGACCCAACAGAAGGGAGCAGACCAGCCGGCCCAGGCGTGCTCCCGGGGTCCGGCCCCAGAGGGGCCATTGGGGTGGGGGGTCACCCACCGATGGCCCAAGGATGGTCCTTGCGAGGTCCGATGCGACAGGGGTCCGTGTACCAGTTGAAGATCTCGTGGCTTTGTTCCATCCCATCACCTAAGGAGAAAGCAGGAGCTGAGACAGCCACGCGAGGGGGGAGACCCCCCGCCCCACTCCGTCCTCCGCACCTCCCGCTGGGAGACCCACCTGGAGAGCAGGTGTCGAAATTGAGGTCCCCACAGAAGATGTCGAAGGCTACCACGTCCCCCGGCTGCGCGTGGCTGTCCTGGAAGAGCTGCATCCAGAGCAGGCAGAGGCTCAGCTGCTGGCACCGGATGGGCCCGTCGGCTGTGGGGAGGGGGACGGCAGCCGTGTTGGCCTCGGGGGACCTCGAACCTGGCGGGCTCAGCTCTGCGCTCTGCCCCTGGCACGGCACTGCCAGGCCAGGTGCAGGGAACCCCCTGGCTTGGGGGACTGCCCAGCAGGCCAAGAGAGCCACAGGGCAGACACCCTCCCCCACTGTGCCCCCCTCGCCGCCTCCACAGCACGGAGTCCATTTCTCTGCTATCAGACTTCCTCTGGCCCTCAGAGGCCGATGGCTGTTGTTCTGGGAGAAGACACCGGACAGCCATCCCAGGATAGAGGTGGACCATAGAGATCGTCTAGTCCAACCTCTGGCAAGGGAGCATCCAGGGAAGGGAAATGCAATGCCAATTGAGAGACTGCAGAGGTTCAGCACATCTGGCCTGGACCTCCTTCCTTCTACTTTGGACCAAGAGATTGACCCTCGGACATTCCCTGTGGTTCAGTCCTTCCTGCCTGGGCAGCCCCCAGGGCTCTCCGGATGCAACACTTCGTCCCTGGAAAGCTTAGCTTCTGCCCCACCCGCCCCCTTTCCCCCTTGCCCCCCTTACCTTCGGGGGCCTGCAGGTGGGTGCAGTTCAGGTATCCAATGACCCTTCGCCCTTGACAAGCTCCCAGCTGCACCTGAGCGGACCAAGCAGGAGACTGAGCCTCTGTGGGTGGGGGGGAGAGGCTTTTTGTGAGAGGAGCTGCCCACTCAGGTTGGGGGGACCATGGAGATACCCTTGACCTCGCTAGGGGCCACCAGTGGAAAGACCTTCAAGAGCCCCACTAGGCCAAGGTCATCGAGGGCCCCACGGATCATCAAGTAGGCCTCGTGGCATCATAGCAGTCTGTGGTCCAAGGAACCTGCAGAAGGAGACCCCCACCCTCTGCTTCAAGGGACAATATTGGCAGCAGGATAGTCAGTAGCTGCCAGGCAGCCTTTAAGCCCACGGCTGAAGCCCCAGGGGTCCCACCCTGGCAAGAGGGCCACGTGGTGGCAGGGCCCCGCTCACGCCCCTCCATTGCCCAAGGAGGCCCCGGCTGGCTCACCTGTGCGCACAGCAGGCCCTTCGCAGCCATGGCATCCTCACCTCTGCCGTTGGAGTAACAGTGGAACTCCACGGCCAAGAGAGGGTAGCGGCTGGCCAGGAAGAGCCCGCTGTTCAGCAGCTTCGGAGCAGGGCCGACAGGGAGGCCGTAGGTGCCCACGTCATAGATGATGTGTTCATATTGGGGCCCGAGGAACCGGCACAGGCGGGCAGAGGCCCGGGGGTCAAAGACCTCCTGCAGGCACACAATGTCCATATTCGGAGGGAAGCAGGCGGAGATCTCCCGGGGCCCGTTGGCCTCTGCTGCCAGGGCCCCCACCTCCTCCATGAGGGGCGGCTCCATGGTTACCACAGCATCGCCTGGGGGGTGGCTCAGGAGACCGGCAGGGGGGCCCGGCAGCCCGTGTGGACTTCCCAGCCCATTGGGGCCCCCAGCGGGGGCAGGGCTGGAGCACTGTGCCGCCTGCGTCAGAAGCTGGCAGAGGTGGCTGGCCCGCCACTGGGTCCGCCAGAGGTTGCTGAACTTGGCCAGCCCCTCAGGGAGCAGGCAGACGTTCGCACTGAGGAGGCTGAGGGTCCTGGCCGGGCCAGGCAGTGCCCACAACTCGGGAGAATCTCGGCCGGGCGTGTGCTGGTAGGCGAAGGGGCGCCGGGCGCCCTGCAGGGGCAGCCAGAGCAGGAAGGCCAAGAGGGCGATGGGACTGTAGAGCAGCAGCAGCAGCAGCAGCGGCGGCCCCCGGACTGCCACTTCCAAGGCGTGGGGCACGCAGCCGGGCTGCTCCCCCGTGGTCTGCTGCAGAGCTAGCACCTCGCTGGTCAGCCAGTAGCCGGGGAACAGCAGGGCCCTCATGATGGTGTCCAGACCCCCCAGGATGCGGCTGGAGTACGGCGACTCCCGGAGGCCCATGGTGGGAGGACGGCGGCCGCAGCAGCGGCGGCGGCGGCGGCGGGGCGACCCCCGGAGTGCCTGGAGATGCTGCCGCGGACGCCTCCGGTGCGCTCGGCTGCGGGGCTGCGGACAGGCGCTGCGCGGAGAGAGCTGGGCAGAGGGAGAGGGACGCGTGAGCTCAGCAGGCAGCCCGGATTGCGGCTTCGTCCGCCGCGCAGTTGGAGCGGCTCGCCCGGCCTTTGGGAGGGAGCCGCAGGCCCGGGGGAGACGGAGATCCGAAATCCTCGCTCCGCGCTCCCCGCTGCGCCCTTCGGGCTCCACCCGCCGACGCACCTGAGCCAGCCGGCCGCACTAAGCGCCGCCTGCCTCTCGCCGCGGCATTCGGCGCGGGAAGCGCTGCCGGCGGGGCTGGGAGCGGCGGGGGGCAGGAGCGGCGGGTCCCTCTCCTCGGGCGGAGGGTCCGCGGCCAGGCGGGACAAGGGGGTTTGGGGCGGCAAGGGGGGGGGAGGTTCTGGGGCAGCCGGACTGGGGCGCGCGGCGCGGACGGTCCTGCCTGGCTCGGCTGCCGGCATCAGAACGGCCCGGTGCCGCTTCGCTCGAGGCTGCAGCCGCCCTGCCCTTCCTCTCCTGGACCCCGAGGAGCGGCGCGGAAGGGGCTGAGATGCTGCCACGGAACGCTTCGCCCCCAGCCCGGCGCGCTTTCCAGAGCCGGAAGAGGAGATGCGGACCCAGCGGGAAGGGACCGGCAGCAGCTATTGGGCAGCGCTGGGAGGTGGCAGCAGCCGCCTGGTGAAGGAACAGGTGAATCGGCTGGTTTTATTCTTAGCCTACCTTTCAGGGACGTTGTGTAGGGAAATAAAAGATGTCCTGCAGATTGGCTGCTGAGTGGCGGCGGCGGCGAAGTCAACTCCAGCGTCTGCTTCTCTTGGCAGTCCTTTCAGACGCGGCTTTCCCCCCTTTCCTACAACTGAGAGTCAGGGGTTCCAGGTCACCCCACTGGCTGGTGCCCGAGGCAGGCTCAGAACTCACGTGCTCCGGGCTTCGTGAGCCTTTGACCGGCTGCTGTCCTTTCCCGCTGAGTGGCCTGGCCACTTTGGACTCCTGGGGATTCCCGGGGTCAGATTTTCATGAAAGCCTTCAAGGGAACGACTTGCAAATCCTCCCAGTCTAAGTTGGGCTGGGGACCAGGGGCCGGCCTCACGCAGGGCCAGAAACTTGAGCATCAGCAGAGGGTCACTGGCTCGAGGGGGACCCCGGGACCCGCGTTGAGAGGCGCCTCCTCCTGGCCAAAAGTCTTTCTGCTGCCCCCCCCCCGTGCCCCAAGAGCGACCTGGGGTGCCGCGTCTCCCATAAGGCCCAGAGCCCAGAGCTTCGCACCACTCACCGCTGCCCGGGCTGAACTTGGCCAGCTTCCTCCGGGCTTCCTCCGCATGGCCGGAGCGGTCAAGGAACTGGGGCCGCGCCGGCCTGCAGAAGCACCTGCCGGCGGTCATGTGCTCCGCAGAGCTGAGCTGCCCGTCATGCCTCCCCAGGACTGGGATCCACCCGCTGAGCGGGGCAGGTCGATCCTGCTCGCAAATTGCCTCCGACCAGGCAGCTGACTAACAGGTCCTGCCTCGCTGGTTGCCCGGCCGATTATAGATTAACTTCCGCGCAGCCATAAACGCCGTTTGCCCCAGGGCAAAAGTCTAAGCGAGAGCTGGGAGGGAGGGGCAGAGGCAGAGGACCCTGGCCCGAAGGCCACTCCCAGGAGAAAGTGTCTGTCGGGGGCGGGGGAGAAGCCGGGGAAGGCGCTCCTCCAGGCGCAGGCGGGAGCGTCCGCTGGCCTGTGGCTCCTGCCGGCTTGCCGGAGGTCCAGGGGGGAAAGCCCAGGTGGAGATTGGAGGGGGCTTCCCCTCCTGCTCTGCCACCCGTTTGACCATGCCTTCCCCTCCCCGGGGGGGGGGTGTGTTGCTCTCCCTGGAGGCTTCCATCTCCCCGGTGCTCCCTCCCCTTCCCAAAAGCAGGCAATATCCCTGGAGGGCTGCCTCTTCCAGTGCCCAGACTGGGGCTGCCAGGAAGATGGCACATTGTGCGCTTTGCCTGCGCATGTCAGGTAGAGTTGCCAAGGAAGCCTTGTGTCTCCCAAGTGTGTTCTGTGAAGTTTGGGGGAAGAATTGCCAGAGGTCCAGTTTCTGGCAGAACCAGTGGGTCCACTGGCCCTTCTGGGTTGGCCGCCTACCCTGAAGGGGCCTTGTTCGTGACCCCTGCAAGGCCGAGAGGAGATCAAGGCTGCCTTGTGCCCACCGGCCTTGATTCCTCGGTGGCCACCATTGCGCAATCTTGCCTTCCCCCGGGCATCTCCTCCTCTTCTCTGCTTGCACTAATGAGGGTAATTCTGTAACATCCCCCTGGATTAGTGTGACAGACGGGCGGAAGGATGCTGAGGTGATGTGGGCATGGCCGCCTCACTTGATGGTCAGCTTCCCTGGATCTGGAGTCCCAGCAGTGCAGTGGGCATGTTGACCCCTGATACCTCCATGATGAAGAGCCTTCTTATGGCACTACAAAGCCCCCCCCCCTTTCCAAGTAAGGCGGTCGCCTCCTGAGCTGATGTAGCCTTCAACCTTCCTCCTGCTCAGGCGTCCTGTCCCTGAATCGCAGGAGGAGTCTGGAGAAGGATCTAGTTTAATCTTCGGCCCATTGGAGGAAGCCACCGCAGCTGCACCCTGCAGACCCCCACAGACCCCCTTCAGCCTCCGCAGAAACCCCCCAAGGAAGGAGAGTGGACGGCCACCATCTGGGGAAGTCCATCCTGTGCTGAACAACTCCTGCAACATTTTTCTTGCTGTCTTATTAAAATCTGCTTCCTGGTAATTTGAACCTTTGTTTCTTGTTTGGTCTTCTGGAACGACACTGAACGTGCCTGTCTGCTTTTCGGGCCCTGGAGAGCCCAGCCAAAGGCCTCCGACACTTAGACTGTTGTGCAACTTTCCCTCCAGGCTGGGATCGTGTGGCCTGCCCTGCTGCTGCTGCTTCCTATGTGCAAGGCCAGCCCCGTCCTCCCCCAGCCAGGAGGGCTCCTTGCCCTGAGCTGGACTGCCGAGGCCAATGGGACTCATCCTGCTGACGGGTCAGCTTTGGATCCATCCAGACCCCCCAGATCCACCTCTTATGCTTTGTTGCCCAGCAAGGGTTCTCCTCCCCCACGTCCAAAGTCAGGCCTTTGATTTTTCTGTTTGTCCCTATTGCAATCCTCATTTCTGCCCAATATTCCAGCTCCTAAAATCTTCCTGAATGGTGAAACTGTCCCCCCAACATCATTCTTTGACTTGCTTGTGGGGTATTTTTAAGCCCCTCGTCCTCGCTCTTCAGAAACATGTGGAAGGGAGCCCTGCAGGTTCCTCCAACCGCTCTTGTTATTTCGGAGCAAAAGGGAATAAAACGCTGCTCGAATCAGAGCTTTGCACTTGGATTTTGGTAGAATAATCTTGCAGGGGGGCGGGGGGGCTGCATGTATCTCTGCACCCAGAAATGCAGCCTTCGTGGCATCCGTGGTCATCCGTCCGAGGCTGCTGCGGCTGAGTGAAGCACTGGCCACACTCGCTGCTTGTCCAGGGAGTCCTCGACTTAACGACTGTTCAAAGTTATGATGGACTTTAAGAAGCTACAAGTCATCCTCAGTGTTATGACTGCTGCGACCCGTCCCTGCGGCTGTCGGAAGGCATGTCGGGCGCCTGGCATCCGTGTCCCACTTAGGACCCACATTCCCACATTCATGTGACCCCCAGTTGTGCTCTTTTCTTTTTGCATCTTCCAGCAGAAAACGGGAAAAAACACCCATTGGATTTGCTGGATTCGCTTAATGACCATGTGGTTCACTTAACAACTGCAGTCGCCTCACAACCATTGCAAAAACAGCTTCCATCCATTTGTTTAGTGACTGTTTGACGTTACAACGGCACAAAAAAGGGGCTCATGACTGCTTTTCTCACAACTGTTGCAGCCTCCCTCAGGGTCAAAATTCAGACTTTCAGCAGCTGACTTGTATTTACGACGGTCTCAGCGTCCCCGGGTCAGGCGATCCCCTTTGGCGACCTTCTGATAAGCAAAAACCATGGGGGAGCCGGATTCACTTAACAAATGTCTCACTTAGCAACAGAAATTTTGGGCTCAATTGTGGTTGTAGGACGAGGACTAGGTGAAGTGAACTCAAGTGTGGCCACCTGGTGCCTGAACTTACAGCTGACATTCTAGGCTCCATTTTGGTCATAAGTGGAGGACCACCTGTAGGCTAACCCAGCCCTCCCTCTGGCCAAGCTGCCCCCTCTTTTCCCCGAAGGAGAGGCCTCTCCTGGGGCACCCCTGTCCAAGGGCTTCGGGACGGAGCAACGGGGGGGGGGAGATGGCGGGGTTGGCTGTCGAGGGCATCCGCAGAGCCACGCCCACTTCCAGGACCTCCTCCCTCCTTCTGAGACCCTCAAAAGGCAGCCTTCATGAAGAAGCCGAAAGCCACAATAGTGGCCTGCATTCCTGAAGGGGCACTAATAAAGGGGGGGGGAGTCATGCGCAGGGACGGACGGCAGGTAACTGTCAGCCTCTGTGGCCACACAGCTGGCAGTGGCAGAGCCCTGGCAGGCGTCATCAGCTGAGAGGCAGCAGCGAACAACAGGATCTGCCTGGCATTTGGGAAGCCTGGAACATGAGTCACTTCCCCGCCCGGCGGGGGCCGGGAGCTCTGATGCTTCCTTGGCTCTGCTCAGCCTTCCCGAGCTGCTCCCGTTCTCTGGGGGGGGGGGTGAGAGGGAGGTGGGGCTCCTGCACAGGGACTGCGACCTGCAGGTGGAGAAGGTGGACCCTCAGCCAGCTGCCCAGGGCAGGAGAGGCTGTGCAGACTCCTCGCCTGCCCCCCCCAGCCAATTCTGGCTTGCTGGGGGGAGGGAGGACAGGGCCTTCTCACACCAGGAAAGCTGAGGTGCTGGGAGGGATGGGGAGGATGCCCCTCCTCCTTGGCAGGGCACCCCGATCTGGCCCTCTTCCAAGGATGCCTTCTGGGGAGTCCAGGGTGGAGCAAAGCACTTTGGCCTCCCCAGGCAGGAAACCAGGATGGCTGAGGAGGGACCAGGCCCCTCAGCCTCTGGGGCCCAAATAGGAAGCTTGGAAATATCTGGGGCTCTTCCTGTCCCACTCGGGGTGTGTGAGTGGGGGGAGGCCTAGAGATGGGGGAAGGGGCTGTGCCATCCAGGAGCTCAGCAGGGGCAGACTGGCGGGACAGATGGAGGGAGGACCTGCAGGGACGTCTCTGTGCTCCCCTGGGGGCATCTGGTGGAGCCCCAAGTGCAGCGGGGGAGGGTCTGGGCCAGGCTGACACCCAGTTGGGCGGGGAATGCCTGGATGGGCTCAGGGGGAGACCTGCTGCTCCGTGTCCTCAACCACAGATGCTGCCCGCTTCCCCCAATTCAGAAACACCTGTGGGCTGAGCCCCAAGGCAGATGGGGGGGGCAGGCAGGTGAGGATGCTACAAAGGAGCTGCAGGCAATTTCTGGAACTGGGGAGGGGGGAGGTCTGAGCTTCCAGCCAGGAGACTGGGGGGAGGGCAGATTTGCAGAAAGTCCTGTCCCTGAGTAGCTGCAGTCAGGGAAGAAGCCCCCGCCCCAAGCCATGGTGGGAGGGGCCGCCAAGTTGCTTGACTGGTTCCACTGGGAAAGCCAGTGTGCAGCGAGGGAGGCTGGGCCTCGCTGGACCCCAGTCCGGCTTCCCCCCCCCCATCGGTCTGGTGCCTCTCTGCTGCTGAGTGAGGGTCACCAGGAAGGCCCCCTCCCTACGCTCTGAGTAGCCTTTCTCCTGCCAGAGTGGACTGCTGGCAGAAAACCGCCTGGGATGCAGCCTGTGGGGTTCAGCTGAGTCACAGACCTGGCTGGGTGCTGAAGGGGATCTCCAGGCCCATGTTCCCCATCCTGTGGCAACTCTGCAGAAGAAATGGGAGAGGTCTGGCCACTTGCATCCCACATTCACGTGGGCCAGAGGGTGAGGCAGGACCTTCTTTTGGGGGGGCGGTTGCGGCCCCAGGACGTTCTGCGCTTCTGGGTCCTCCCCTGAGAAATTTGGGGACACCTCAATACACCCATATAACCCCCCTGCTTCACCAATCACACTGACCTCCTATAGCCTTCAGGAGCAACTCGAGATACTGGTTATCATCTCTCAAGCACCATTCATGCCTTGGGGTAGGGTCCCACGAGTCCAACCAGGTGGGCACCTCTCAGGCAGGGCCCAGGAGATGGGCGTCCTCTGGTGCAGACCTCCTTCCTCCCCGGCGTGACCCTGACACCCCTGGCCCTCCACAGGGCCTGTCAACGGGGCCCTTCCCCTGGAAGGAGTAGCAGCCAAAGCCCCCAGAAGGGTCTCCCATGGACGAGACGCTGCTTGGCTCACTTGTCCTGTGACTCTCTCAGGTTTTGCAGGCTGTTTTGGGGTTCTCAATTTTGTTTTTATTCCCTTCCTTTTTAAAAAATTATTATTCTGTTCTCTTGCGAGGTGCACAGGGGGCCGAACCGAGTGCTCCTCCTGATATTCAGCTGGTTGCATTGATGCCACAAAACCTCACAATCACACGGCCACACCAGAAGTTCCTGATTGCTTATTCCCAATTTGCTGAAGACGTGTGCAGATTAGGCTAACTTCCCATAATAAGCTACTGGGGAAGGAAGTTACTTCATTTGCTAAGTTCTCCTCTTCTGGAGGTGCTTTTCAGCATGCTAACGGTGGGCTTTGTGCCTCTGGACCTGTGGTCAGAGATTCTTGGCCGCAGCTGAAGCTCCTTCCCCGTCCTTCTTCCAGTAGGAAGACTGACAAAAGTCCACTTACAAAATTCTTCAGCCTGGTTGCAAAGCCACCATCGGCCAGCTAGGCTAACAGTTCCTATAACTGACATATTTACGGTCAGCCTCTTTCACGTGTCCGATAAGTAGGGGGCCATCCGTCCCCCTCAGTAGAGAAAGTCTTCTGGCCCATCCTTTCCCAAGAATATACTTTCCTGAAAGCAAAAGTGGTTGCAGAAGTAGCAAAGCGGAATCTGCCCGTTTGGGCTGGACTGGGGCGTCTCCCTGTTCGGGCCAGCACAGCGTGGCTACCAACCCTCTCTTGTTCTCCCCCATCTCTTCCCTCCCCCCCCCATTGCTAATGTCAGGCTGGCAGGATGCGATGCGGAAGCTAGCAGGACAGCAGCAGTGACAGTAATATTAGCTAAGAGCTGATCCCAACAAGGGCTCCATCAAGCCGAAGCATAGATTATCATGGATTGTGTCTGGTTGAAGCTCTGAATACGGAGGTGGTGGCATATAAATCTGATGAATAAATTGTCATGATTCCGACAGATGAAACTCTTCAAAAGAACTTCGAGGCATTGTTTACCTTTATTAGAGAAACAAAGTGTCAGCACTACATAGTTGAAACCAGAAACTAATTTCCCCTCCCCTGGGCACGAAGTATCGAAGCAATAAACACTGCTAACACCCGATGTTCTTGCTTCTTGCTTTGACCTAAGGGTTTATGGCTCACTTGCAAAAGCCCCTTAATAGCTTGTAGTCAATGGAGCAGCCCCCCCACGCATTGATCCAGTTAATGAACCCACTGAAACCCCCCTTTTGCCTTGCATGCTGCTCCACCGGCCTGCTCTGTGTTGAGGGCTTCAGGGAGGGTGTGGCAGACAGAAGCCAAGCTGGGGGCAGCTTCTGAGCCCCAGGACACCTACGTCCATCGTTGCCTTGACCCGGCAGAGAGAAGCATTTGGGGAGCAAGGCTCCAGTCCTCAGTAAGGGGGGAGCAGAGCTGCCTGGGCTCTCCTCAGGGGGGGGCAGCGGCAGGTATCTGGTGGAGCAGGT